AATATGGATTTTTCTTACCGCTATAATAAAAAATAATAAAAAAACCAATTTCAAAAGGGCCATGCAATTAAAAAAAATCGATTATGATTTTATTAAAATACCTTTTTTGAAACAAGCATATTTTCCACAGTAATTACTTTATGTGGAAAACGTCCATTTTATGACATTTATACAAAAAGGTCATTACGATGTACATATTAATAATTAATATGTAAACGTGTAAATTTTCCGCTTAATTAAAAATGCACAGTTCAAAACATATCAATTAAAAAGCTATCTGCTCCTAAAGTAGACCGAGTCTGCCACATCCTATCAACTGTAAGCGTTCATTTTCAACAACTACATATCGCACACCATTTTTTTTTAACGTTGGGAAATGCATTTACGCACGAGGTGTAGGACTCACCGGCAAAGCCTGTACTACCCACTAAAACCCAACATAACCTTCCCCCGTCTTAATGGGGCGACGCAGGATCGCTTACGCACTCAACTACGACGCCCCGACGGCAGGTCTGCCGAAGCAGACCACAACAACCACGGGGTCGCTCCAAGGTCCACTCTGCTATCAGAGAAGTACCAGGAGCAACCCGCATGGTTCACCGCCCACCTAAGAGGGCCACCTCCCACCGCCCACCGGAGTGGCCACCTGCCTGTGCGTTACTTGGCTTCACGCCCGGCTGGATGCCGGGCACTACTGAGCACGATTGTGTTTTAGTGGGTAGTACTGGCTCCGCCGGTGAGTCCCACACCTGGTGCGTAAATGCATTTCCCAACGTTAAAAAAAAATAACTTTTTATTTAGGTGTGCGAACATACTAATATAATATATAATTACGTATACCTACAAATTATGTAACCTCCAATAATTCGATAGCGGCTAGTTAATGGTAAGCCCAAAATAAATATATAAACCAATGAAATCTGTGTAATAACATGCCGGAAGTGAACGCGGAAACAGCCAGACAATATAAACAAACTGCTTTTGTATTACGACTGTGAAAATGACCATAAATATTTTCTCATTTCACTCTTCTCAAAGGTTGCAAAATGCTATTTAACATTTTTTGTTTGTTTGGAATATAAGATATATAGGTATGTTATATGTACTGTCTATACATATAATAAAATTCTAAGTTGAACCTGTACATTAAATATTTTTTGGAAGATCTTATTGAAATAGTCATTATCATCATATTATTTTGCCTGTGACCGCATCACGAGAAAACCTCTGGACCAAATCCCAAATTTCATTAATATTTTAATTAAATTTGGGTTGATGATAGCTAGTTAACTAGGTCAACATTAAGGATGCTTTTTACTGAGGGAAAATATCTCATCTCTGAGAAATCTACACTAAACGTATATACCTACGAGTAATACTACGAGTAATAGAAGACTTTCGACCGATTTCATCAACGTCACTAAGTTTAAGGGAGCCTAAGCATGGTTAGGTGGCTGTTAGGGGACAGATTCTGTTTCACCGACAGTTAGGGGTCACCTAAATATTAAAATGCCACCAAAATATAGGTATTAGAAATACGGGCTCTGATGATGGTAAAACGAAATTTAATTTAGGGGGCAGTTTAGGGGAACTTTTAAGCTAGGGATCCCATACGTAGGTGGTAGCTTATGGGTTGTTGGTGAAATCAGGCATTTGTATGTTGTACTTTAAGTCTATACATATGAATAAAATACGTAGTAACAAAGGGAACTTGTACATAAAATATTTTTTTAAAACAATGACTGTAACGTATTGTGTACAATATATAGACAAAATACAATAGTTATTGAAATTTTTGTCTGTTTGTCTGTATATCTGTGTTCATTTCATATTTTGTCACATAAAATAATAGCTTGAAATTAAAAAACTGATAAAAGTAAAAAAAGACGCCGATTTTTTAATCTATTTTACCTATTCAGGCAATTTTTTTATTAAAAATGAGAATCAGGGTCTCTTATTTTAAAGATATTTGGGAATAAATTCAAAAAAAGGACTTTTGTTTCGGAGCTTCCATGTCTTTATAGTATTGGTCAAGATGATCGATTATTTAAGACAGTTCCCGTTAGTAAAAAAATCATAAACATAGTGATTGGACTGTTTCTTTGTCGCCCCTCTCGTTGAATTTAAATTAATTAATTAATTAATTAAAGTTAATTAATTTAAAATTAATTAATTAATTAATTAAAGTTAATTAATATAAATGAATTGAAGAATATTATCACGCTATATTTCGCGAATATTTCAGTAGCTTCACCACAGAACCTCGCCATAGACCTGTCTGCACGTACTTCACATGCCCCTGTATAATAAAGAGGTCAGCCGTCAGAATCATGCATCTTTGAAATATAATAATCGTTAAATAGAAAAAGTTTAAAAAATAGTACCTAAATATTCCTATATATATATTCCTATATACATATATATATATATATATATATATATATATATATATATATATATATATATATATTCCTATATACATATATATATATATATATATATATATATATATATATATATATATATATATATATATATATATATATACTATTTATTATAAATATGTCATCTTTGAGAAATCTGTACTAGACGTTAAAACATAAGGAGGGACGTAAAAGGAAAATAAGTAAAAAAAGGTTCATATATTACAGCGCTCTAAAAGTGAAGTGCTACCCATTTTGCTAACTATAACTAAAATGCCGTCGTATGTATTAAGGAATATGAATTTGATTTAAATATGTTTTTTTATAATCTTTATTGCTTTTGAATTTAGCTTATAGCAATATTTTTAATATAATTTATTTTCGACTAGCATTGCCCGCGGCTCCGCCCGCGTTCAGAAGACCAAAAACCAAATTCTTAGGTTTTACGTATTAGTATACTCTTAAATTGCAGTTTTTGCATTATTTCTCAGAAATGAGATATTTTCCCGCGGTAAAAAGTACCCTTTATGTTGACCCGGATAACCAGCTATCACCATACTAAATTTCATCAAAATCTCTCCAGTGGTTTTTCTGTGATGCGGTAACAGACAGACAGACAGACAAAAATTCTAAAAACTATATATTCGGCCTCTATATCGATAATAATGTCTATTTCAAAAAGATTTTCCAAAAAAATATTTAATGTACAGATTCGGCTTAGTTACAATTTTATTATATGTACCTATAGATTGAGAAAATAATATTTTACTGGGAAATTCAAAGTATGTAGTTGAAACTCACGCCATTGGTCAGATAGAATATGACGTCAAAGTATAGCTACATAGTATAAAATAACAAAGTCGCTTCCCGCTGTCTGTCCCTATGTATTAAATAATATTGCTCAGATATTTAAAACTACTCAACGGATTTTGATGCGGTTTTTTAATAGATAGAATTATTCAAGAGGAAGGTTTATATGCATAATACGTGCATATTATAGTACAGAAAAGCCGAGAAATTAAAAAAAAATATTCATACTAACCGTTAAAACGTACATATTAACCAGTTATATCCTAACAGAGCAATATGCGATTTTGTCGTTACAAAGTTGTCATTTTTCTATGTATGATACTTTGACGTCACGGCAACGTGGTGGTTTAAATAAAATATTAAATGTGTGAGTATGTACGTGTGCTGCCCCTGAATGCAGAACATTTTTTTCGATAGTTTTGTGAACTTACTTATAACTTAACTGATATCTATATTATAAAACATCATTACTTTTACTATCTTATAGTTAGTTGTAGTTGTATATATATATATAAAAAGCAGTCATAATTACCTACTGCCGACATAAGGGAAAACTTAAAACTACTCGTATAAACGAGCAGTTGTTATTTTTGGATATTCAAATTATTATTTTTATTAAATTATTTATAAATAATCAATTTTCGAACAAACAAGTGTAAGGTTGCATTTTTATATATTGAGTGTTTTAAAAGAAAATAATATATTTGATTAATTTGTAATGATTTATGTATAAGACATTTACTTATGTGACCTTGGCCGATAGGAATGTGTTTTAAAAAAAATAAAAAGGGCGCGGATATTCATTTGTTTTCCCGCGCTTTTACACAGATGTCGCTACCACCATGTAGTGACTAAGCACGAATTGTTTGTAATACTGAAAAATTATGATTATAAATTATGTAACTCACTGACCTTTATAAAAGTACTGAATATAAGAATATAAGCAAGGAATATCTCGAAGTTTTATTAGGGGTCCAACACAAGCACAAACGACAAACAAACAGGCGATATGAAAAAGGAAACAAAAATGAGAAAAAAAAACCTAGAGGGTCAGGTTTGGTCAGCCGTTATTTACCGCTTACAATTGGAAACTTTTTTAAATTCTCTCCCTTAAAAGATAATTATTCTTATCTTTACCCTCCATAGTGTGTATTATGTTTATATAATATGTAGCAATATACTGTATGATATTATGTATGATAATAATTTTAACAAATTTTTTAAAGCAATGTGATTATCTAGCGCCATCTCTGGTCCATAGACGAATTCTCTTAGGTTGTAATTCTTGGTTGCCATAGCACAAAAAGAAAAACTATTCAAAATAAATATTATTTTATAATTTTTTAGATATATATATTTATTATTCGTTTTTTTACAGCATAATAATATATTTATTATATTTATTTATAATCAGTTTCAAAGCAAAGAGAATAGGTTGCTGGTATATTTATTCTGTATTGTTCTTGTGACTTTTGACATTTAAGTGTTGCCATACAAATTTATTTTCCCTACAATGATATTACTTTTTCTAATATTACAATGATTAAAATATTTTATCGTTTTAGAAGAATATTTAACATATAAAGTATTAACTTCGCAGGATTTTTGAAAATATAAAGTTTTAAAATAAAATCATATGATAGATCATTTAGTTGTTTTTTGTATTTCAACTAATCATGAAATCTATAAATATCGAGATAGGACTAAAATATAATTTCAAGTTAAGGAATAGAAAAATCTATGGATTTATTTAACATTGAATTAATTATGTGTATAAATTACATTAAGCTTTTTGAATTATTTTCTTCGTTTTGTTTTTGTCGCTTCATATTTACTAATGTCAACTTGAAATATTTGGGGTATTTATTGTATGAATACTGGCAACTATATAACAAATTTGGTTGGCACTCGGCAAGTTTAGTACCAAGTTCTAGTACTTCGTTAGTACTGTTCGTGTTCGGTGTTTTAGTGCACTGCAGCATATTCACGCATGTGAGTAACTTTTACTGATAGTTCGACTTAATAGATAACTTCAATTAAAAGTTAATAATTCTTCTTCTAAAATAAAGCAACACTTGCTTGAAAAAGCAGCTGAAAAAAATTCTTAAGGAATTTGTCTAACGTAAAATCTGAATTAACAACTATTTTATTAGAATTTTCCTTCTATAAAAACTTGAATGCTCGCGAATTTTATTATAAGTTTGTTATGGCGAATTAAATTATTATTACTATTTTGTTTATTTAATAATTAGTATATAAAATATATATTATACAATTTTAGCTGAGTTTCGGCGAATTTAATAATTTTCTTATACTTGCGAAGTTACTAAGAAGCACGCGATCTTTGTTTGTTTTTTAGCTGTCAAAACCACATGTTTCTTTTCTTATTGGTACTTTTGACATGGATATTTTAAGAATTAGTTTTAAGTTATTATAATGTATTAATATTTCTTATATATCTAAGGTTTCCTTTTAAAATGTTATTAGTTATTAAATAATATGTGACAATATACTTAAATAGCCTTTTTGTTTTCTTGATTAACTTTTACATGTCAAAACATAGTGTATTTAAATTTAAGAATTTCTTTTAATACTAAAGTAAAATATTAAGTTAGAATAAGTTTATATATAATTGAGTAGCATTGCATTGAAAAGTTATTTGTTTCTATTTTATTTATATTAGTTTTCAATAAGCTATATTTATTTAATTCTTTTTAATTATAAGTTAATAAAACTTTTTCTCTTAATTTACAAATAATATTTTTTAGTCATTTAATTAATTTATTTTTTTGTTAAATTAAATCTGACAAATATTATTGTTGGGCTATTCATTATTTTTATTTTAAATTGTATTTTTATTTGCAATTTAATTTAGAATATTAAGTAATACTAGTGTTAAAGTTTATTTTATTTTTCAGTGCAAGCAAGACTTACGGCAACCAACCGACCTATTATTAACTATGCCTGTCGATAAGAAGTTGCTGCCTGTAAAGGCCCATTTTCTATTCTTTAATGCCGGTAAGTAACTATTTGACTTTTAACATTTTACAGAATCAACAAATTTGATTATTTTCACCATCACCAGACAATGAACAATCATTACAGAACAAATATTTAGATCTCAAGCATTGACAATAGAATAACTCATTTTATTCATAAACAATTTAGTTTTGTTTCTAATAATATAGTTCTATAAAAGTTATAAATTATTCAATAAGATATTTAAAATAGCTCCATTCATTATACAAAGTATTATTATTATCAATATATTTAGTTAGAAAATTAATGTCCTCTAATTTCTATCATTCATATTTGTAAATATTAAAAAAATCTTGCCATTCTCAAAAAAGTCATTTAAAAAGGGATTTCGCTTCTTAGAATTAAATTATTATTAAATTCTTATTTTAAATAAAAAAACAGTATTTCCTCCTTACAACTAAATTACTTGCACAAACGTTTTTCCAATCATGTTAAAATTTGGTACATGAGTTGTAAATAGCTTAGAGAAGCAGATGAACTAAATTTTGGCTAGTAGTAGTCTTTCCAGTAATTCCTGGGGCAACTGAATAATCAATATAAATAAGGGATGACGGATGAATTGCACTTATTGGTAACAACGTAACTGAAGGGTACTTGTATGTATGTTTGTTTGTGAATTTTAAATTAAAACTTAAAAAAACGACTTCCAGGCACTAAAATCTAAAATATAACTAAACGGGGGTTTTCATTTAGAATAAATACCTAATGAGATATTTTCGAAGACGATGCCAGCCTACAATTTAAAAAAAAAAATGATTCCGACGAATTGAGAACCTCCTCCTTTTCTAATAGTGTAGAAATACATTCAACAAGTTTAACAATTTAGATATATCGTCCATTCAGTGTATTTATTTATTACATTCGCTTATTGAATTTATGGGTAGTACTAATTTTATAAGATAACTAGCATTGCCCGCGGCTCCGCCCGCGTTCAGATGACCAAAAACCAAATTCTTGGGTTTTACATATTAGTATACTCTTACATTGCAGTTTTTGTATTTTTTCTCAGAAATGCGAGATTTTCCCGCGATAAAAAGTATTCTATATGTTGACCAAAAAATATTTAATGTACAGATTCGGCTTAGTTACAATTTTATTATATGCAGGTATAGATGCCTTTATTCCAATAGGAACTGCGCTTCTCTATTCCATGAAACAACTAAACTACTCTAACAGCTTTCTATTCAATAAGCTGATTGCTATCTTCAGTATAATTAATAGTTTGATCAAAGGGAAGTAGTTGGTATATGAATATACCTCTGAACCTACCAAATGCACATTTAATCAGTTTATTTCAAGCTTCGCGATAATTGAATAGGTTCTATTTAAATCAAAATGAAATGATCGCCTCTAAACTTTTTCAAGTTGTTAGAAATATTGTAAAGTATAATTTTACTTTAAATAAAGATAACAAGTTAATATTAGTCCCGCTGAGTTTCTTTCTCCAGTTCTTCTCAGCTCTGAGGCTTCTTCTTTTCGAACTGGTAGTAGAATCATGACGTTCTGTAAAAAATTGTAATAATTTAATAATGAATAAAATATTTTGAATTTGAAAAAAAAAATGGCTAGCTCAGACTTCGTAGATAAGTCTGAAATCTAACTTCCTATCCAATGATATTTTATCAAGCTATAGCTGGATAGACAGGCGTTTTATACTCCATCATTCAATTTGAGTTGGCAGTTCTGAGTAAGCTACCTTGGTATATGGTATGACTTTTCAGCTTTTTAAGCAAAGAAACAAAGAGGTGCGAATGGTATATATGTATATATATATATATATATATATATATATATATATATATATATATACAAAATAATTCCAAGCTATACTTCAATGGTATCTACTGCTGAAGCTGACAAACTTGACTTCAGGTCACCTTATTTTGCTGACATGCTGATTTAAAATACTACCTAATAGTATTATAGTGGTTTGCGTGTTACAACGATTTAGTGTGCATAGGTTACCGGTTGGCCCGTCGGCATTATTTTTGGTGTTTATTGATTCGACGGCTTAATTATGTATAACACAGTGATATCTGAAGCCGATACAATAAAATGCTATAGCATCTTGCTATCGGCATAGAAAAACTTAAAAAAAGCTCCGTAATGACTTTAAATACGATGCAGACTAAAGATTTAATATTCTACTCATAACAAAATGTCATGGCAAAGACAGAAAAAAAATTGGCCACAAGACTTATTAAACTTACTTTTAAAATAATTATACATCGGAAATTTATAGAAACCTCTTAATTTAATTAAGAAATAAAAGCAGATAGTATAAAATTAACATGCCTTTATTGAGACCCATCTTATAACGACGACACGTTTGCCTCAGTTTGTAGTGACCTGCTACTTGCTGTGCCAGCGGTCGCGGGTTTGAGTCCCGCTGGGGGTATTCATTTGTGTGATGACAAATGTTTGTACTCCAGTCATGGGTGTTTATATTTATAATATGTATGTATTTAAAAAGTTATATACATATGTGTAGTGTATCAACTATCTGGTATCCATAACACAAGCCTCGTAGCATACCACGGAACTAGATGGCGCTGTGTGTTAATGTTCCAACATATAAACAAAACACATATATAAGGAAGACTTCATCATTTGTTTGAATTTTCTAACTCCTCCCCTAGGTGCTTCCTCTGACGTTGATGAATATAAAGAAATAATCACAAGAAAATAGTTTATATATATATATATATATATATATATATATATATATATATATATATATATATATATATATATATGGTCCATAACCTGAATTCGCCGACGGCAAATATAATTGTTTATGACCGCTGGGCTTAAGTGAAATGATCCAAATTCACAAGTTACTTTTGTTGCATTGTGCATATTGTGGGCGTATCCCAATACTCGTGATGCTAACGAGTTGTCTTAGATGATATATATATATATATATATATATATATATATATATATATATATGTATATATAGATCAGTCGGCATGATTCCGTCGGCTCGACTTTAATTTATATTTATCTAAAGGAATTCTATGATTACTGAAATTAATCATAGCTAAGAGAGAAGGAGGGGCGTCTTCGGTCTAAGCACAGAGGTTTCGGCCGGTATAATATTTGACTTTGAATTTAGTTGGCTTCCGATTCGCAACTTTTGAAACACTTTTAATACTATAGAAAATATGAATTCTATTTAAAAATTTTTAACTTTAACTAAATTTACATTGACCATATTGATTTTAACTTAATTAAGAGAATTATTAAAGTCGGTTAATATTGCGTTAACAATATATGTACATACATAAAATATACAGCCAATAGAGAAGCTACATTTTATAATTCGTTGAACACTTGAACACACGATGCTTGTTCCAAGTGCTAGGTAGTACTCGCTTGCTGGCTGATACAAAGTCTAAATATTTTACACGTGTAAACTTTTCGTCTCGTTTTTAATCTTTTCAAATTTCTTTGCGAATTTATTTTGATTTTTTGTTCCCGACGTTTCGATGCTTTACAGCATTCATGGTCACGGGAGAGACTAAAGTTTTAGAAGTCTTATATTTTTAAATAATTTGAAAATAGTACTAAAATACCTTAATAATAAAAAAACCTTTTTTTTATTGATTTTATATATTATTTAAAAGGTCAAATATCCGCGTAAATCTAAGAAAATATTTTTTTCTTCTCGTTTTTAGCTATAACGCTCGCGAACATGGCATGGCAGTTAACAATTCATTTCCCAGAAACTAACCACGGAGGCGTTAATTGACTAAGGTGTCGTATTCTGAATTATAAAATATATAATCGGTTGGGCACCCACTGTCAGGAACGAAGGCCTTTTCTTTAATTCCGAGTGTAATCCATACTTCCATACTTAATATTATAAATGTGAAAGCGTTTTTGATTGTTTTCTTGTGATACATGTTTCCAGACAGACAGACAGACAAAAATTCTAAAAAGTATAGATTCGGCCTCTGTATCGATAGTAATGACTATTTTAATAAGATTTTCCAAAAAATATTTAATGTATATATTCGATTCAGAATTTTACTAGGTAATAATTAATTAATTTTACTATTGTAGATATACAGGGTCATTTTTAATTTACTGAAAACCTTTTGGGAATATACTATTTACATCATAACAACAACATCTGTAAGAAGAAAAAATAATATTTCTTAAATTTTTATTTTCATACAAAAATAAAAATATTTTTTTTGCATGTTCTGAACTTTAAAGTTCTGGCATCTGGCTAAGTTTAATTGAGTAAGCGCGGCTTCCTACACCCCTCCACCCCTCCCCCTCCACCGGACACGCACTTTCTTTTGCTAATGCTGGACTATTACCGTTTAGAATGTGCAATAAAAATATTTTCTATTTTTGTTAAATTTAAGATATATTATTTTTTTTGTTACAGATGTTGTTGTTATGTTGTAAATATGTAGTGTATTCCTAAAAGGTTTTCAGTAAATTAAAAATGACCCTGTATAAATATATTGTAAACAATTATAAGTATATTGTAAACATTTAATATGTTCCATTCCCATTTATTTCAGATTAAATATGACCAAAATTAATTAATATACGAATTTACTGACAAAGTGGTAATCGCATAGAGGTAAACTCATCGCTATTATGTATTACAAAACGGTAAATAATTAAATTAATATTAGTGGCGCCAACTAATAGCGACATATAATATTCCAAGTTCCATTAGGAAACAAATTATCTACCATTTCCATAAATATACGTTAAATTTGATAGGTTCACAATATAATCGCATTTAAAAGAAAGTGATAATGATTATTCAAACAAAATGATTAAACTAATATTAAAACTTTAAAAGGAAAGGTGGTGGCTATACATAGCGACACCTATTATGTCGTCCCTTAAAATAATTAAAAGCTTCTTGCGCTGGCTTAGCTCGGGCTCGTCTCTAGGTTGATTCTCCATACAAATTTTCATCTCCATTTTCACCCCTTTAAGGGATGATT